AAATAAAATATTTAAAATATTTTGCTTTTTGGTGGGTTTTATTTTTTTGTTTTGAGACAGAATCTCATGTAGCCAGGCTGGCCTCAAACTCCCTATTTAGCTGAAGATAATGTTGAAGTGATCCTCCTGCCCTACCTCCTAGTCCTGGGATTCCACATGTGCACTACCCTGCCCAGTTTATGCAGGACTTTGTGCACACTAGGCAAGCACTCTACTAACTGAACTACATCCCCAGCCCATTATTTGTGGTGGTTAGACAGAATCTCATGTAGCCAGGCTGGCCTCAAACTCCCTATTTAGCTGAAGATAATGTTGAAGTGATCCTCCTGCCCTACCTCCTAGTCCTGGGATTCCACATGTGCACTACCCTGCCCAGTTTATGCAGGACTTTGTGCACACTAGGCAAGCACTCTACTAACTGAACTACATCCCCAGCCCATTATTTGTGGTGGTTTTGAGGCAGGGTCTTACTACTAGCCTAGATTAGCCGAGATTCTCCTGCCTCTGCCTCTGCCTCCTGGGTGCTGAGATTCGAGGCACGCAGCACATGCTCACTTTGTCCAACCTCACCCCCGATGTCGGAGGTAGAACCCAGAGCCTTGCCAGGCAAGCACTCTACCATGAGTTACAAGCCCAGCTCTTGTTTTTTTGACACAGAATTGCTTGATATGTAGCTCAGGCTGGCCTTGAACTGTTGATCCTCCTGTCTCCACCTCCCAAGTGTTAGGAGTGCTGGTGTGCACTACCACATGAGGCTTCACATTTTTTTTCTTTTCCTTCCTTTGGTTTTTTGTTTTGTTTTGTTTTGTTTTTTGAGACTGGATCTCCATGTAGCCTCAGCTGGTCTAGAACTCACCAGGTAGACCAGGCTGGCTTCAATCTCACAGAGATCTGCCTGCCTCAGCATCCTGAATGCTGGAATTAAAGGTGTGCATCACTATACCTGGCCACATTTACTTTCTTCCATGTTGCTGTTTAAGGGTTCAGAGTGGCATATCCTGACCATTGGCACCACCGTAGAACATGGATGGAAAGACCACAGCATGGCACAGCACATAGAGGTCTTTCCCTGTGGCAGTTACATGTGGTACAGGTGACTTGACCAGCATGTACAGCTCCTGCAACCCCTTAAGCCTGCTTCTGACCCGAGGCCTCTATCCTCCTGCTGAAGTTTCTCCAGCCCAGTGTTTCTTTCTGGACAGGGAATGGAGGCTGTGCTGGATAGCTTTAGTGTCAACTTGACATGCCTGGGTAGAGGGAGCCTCAATTGGGGAACTGCCTCCATTGGACTGGCCTGTGGCCATCTTGTGGGGTATTTTCTTGATTGTTGAGTGATGTGGGAGGGGCCAGCCCACTGTGGGCAGGGCCACCCCTGGGCAGGTGGGCCTCTGTTGGATAAGAAAACAGGTTGGGCATGGGCCAGGGGAGCAAGCCAGTAAGCAGTGTTCCTCCATGGCCTGTGCTCCAGCTCCTGCCTCCAGGTTCCTTCCTGCCCTGAGTTCCTACCTTGGGCTCCCTGATGAACTGTGACCCAGGAGATGTAAGCTGAATAAACCCTTTCCTCCCCAAGTTGGTATTTGTCAGAATTTTTTGTCATAGCAGTGGAGAAACAGACTAGGACAGAGACTGACCCTGGGTCCTGGTTTCTACATTTCCAGCTGATCTGGGGGAGGGGCCTCACAGAGACCCTTCAAGGGGCTTCAACATCTTCCAACTAGAAAAACAACCCCTTCTCCTAGACAGGCTGCCACAGGCTGTTGGTGCCTAGTGAGAGGCAGCTATTACTCATAGACAGGCTGCCACAGGCTGTTGGTGCCTGGTGGGAGGCCTGGTTCTGTGGGACCAGAACTCTCCCCTCTGCTCTCTGCCATTGTCCTCAGAACCGGAGTCTTCTCAGACCTGAAGGTGTGCACACATGCAGGCATTGCACAGGATGTAAAATGCACTTCTTGGAGTGGGTCAACGTCAAGAGTCTGGGAAAGCTTCAGAGAGGCCACGCTTTGGACTCTGGATGTACTCCCACCTGCCTCCAGGTAGAAAACTTTTGTTTCTCTGGTTCAGAGGAAGAGGAGCTTGGTCATTTTCAAAGTGGATCTTACCACACTACTGTGGAGCCTCTGCCAGGTCCATCTGAAGGCGGAAGGAGTCCCAGCTCCCAGCTGCTCTGGTTTAGGTGCTGTGCTGATCTTAGGACTCCTGGGATAGGCTACCCGCTCCTGAACTCAAAGGAGGGGCTCCCAGTGAGAATGGCCGGGCCCCAGCAGTGCCGTCACTGGATCTTTTTGCCTTCCCCCTGTTCCCTGGGCACAGGCAGCAGAGAAGACTGCGGGGGACCAAGGCTGGTGGGTGGAGGTAAACTGGTTCATGCAGGGGAACATATTATTCACATTCCTCCCTGTGTGGCGTAACCTCCCATGGCTGGGGCAGCCTCTTGTTTGTTTTATTATTACTCGTGTGTGTGTGTGTGTGTGTGTGTTGCATATGTTAGTTCGGCTCAAGTGCATATGGACATATGTGCATGTGGAAGCCAGAGGCTAACATCAGATGTCCTTTTTCATTGCTCTTCACCTTATTTTATTTTTTGAGACAGGGTCTTACTATGTAGCCCTGGTTGACCTGGAACTCACTATGTAGACCAGGATGACCTTGAACTCACAGAGATCCCCCTGTCTCTGCCTCCAGAGTGCTGGGATTAAATGCATGGGCCACCATGCCCCGCTTACATTATTTGTTTATTTATTTGTTCTTGAGATAGCATCTCCCACTGAATCTGAAGCATACTAATTTGGCTAGACTGGCTGCCCAGCAAGCCCCCGGATACCCCTGTCTCCACTTCCCAGCACTGGGACTATAGCTGCCGTGCCTGACTTTTTATGTGGGTTCTTGGGATCCAAACTCAGGTCCTCATTCTTGCAGCCATCTTTCCAGCCCCTTATTTGTTTATTTAAAGGAAACTGTTTGTTATGGAGTTGTTGGACAATCACAGGAGCTCAGCAAATAGTCACACTGGGTCATCAGGTTTCAGTCATCATCTTCCCTTTGCCTGGCTTGTCATTGAGTCCATCTAATCTCAAAGGAGCAGAGCAGGGTGGCACACACCTTTAATCCCAGCACTCAAGAGGCAGAGGCCAGCCTGGTCTCCATAGGAAGTTTCAGGTCAATCAGGGCTACATAGTTGCCTACAATCCTAGCTACTCAAGAGACTGAGACAGGGGGATCACTTTGGTATGGAGTTTGAGATTAGCCTAGGCAAAATAGTGAGACCCCTTATAATAGTTTTTAAAAG